TGGAGGCCGAGCTGGCCGCGCGCGCCGACCGCGTCCGGGACCTCGCCAGCGACGGGGACGCGCTGCTCGCCGCCGGGAACTTGCATGCCGATGCACTCTCACATCGCATCCGTGCGCTGCAGGTATTATACCGTTACAATATAGTTTGTTTCGCTATTTCTTATCATAGTAAGGTAAATGCCGAAATTGTCTAGTTTTTCTTGATCAACATCAACACACAGAAGTGAAATAGCATTTCATCAATTTTTTGACGTCAATTTACTGATAAAGCACCTTCTATCCATTAGGACTTTTCATGTAAAATCAACGATTTGATAAGCAGAGCGGCAATAAACTAAAGAATCTATCTTTTTTAGGCTAAGCTGGAGAAGCTGACTGGCCTCGCAGCTCGTCGCAAGGCGGCGCTAGTGGACAACTCTCTGTACCTGCAGTTGTTGTGGAAGGCGGACGTGGTGGAGTCCTGGATCGCGGACAAGGAGACACACGTGCGCTCCGACGAGTTCGGACGCGATCTCTCCACTGTACAGACTCTGCTCACCAAGCAGGACACCTTCGATGCTGGTCAGTGCTTATTTATGAAGATGAGGTTAAAATTAATAACTAGAAATTGAACATGGTATTTTGGGCACGTAGATAAGTGGACAAAAGCCATAAGACGTTCTAGTGGTGTCTTTACGTACAACAAATGCCAATAATTATCAAGTCTACGATAATTCTTTATTAGCCTTTATTAATAAAATCTTGTGACAGATACCCTGGCGTCATAGGTTACCTAAATTATTATTTTCATTAATTCTGTTTTTGTGTATCTTACATCTAAATATCTATCTCCTTCGCAGGTTTGGCCGCATTCGAACATGAAGGTATTCAGAACATAACATCCCTGAAGGAGCAGCTAGTGGCGGCAGGCCACGAGCAAAGCCCTGCTATTGTGAAGCGTCACGCTGACGTCATCGCTCGCTGGCAGCGCCTGCTGGCTGGCTCCGCGGCCAGGAAGCAGAGACTGCTGCAGCTACAGGACCAGTTCCGACAGATCGAGGAGCTCTACCTCACCTTCGCCAAGAAGGTACGCTTTATGTCAATAGTTTCTGTGCTCTTATGTTTAAAGAAACATAGTAAAGAATGTTCTTTATTGATATGCCATAACTTTAAATGAGCAATTTAACACCCTGGTCCAAGCATAAATCTAATTTGCTCCTACACAATGTACTAATGCTATATTGTCTTTGTTTAGGCGTCAGCCTTCAACTCATGGTTCGAGAACGCGGAAGAGGACCTTACAGACCCAGTGCGCTGCAACTCCATTGAAGAGATCAGAGCGCTCAGGGATGCGCATGCGCAATTCCAAGTAAGTTCGCCCTTCTTTATGATTATATATTTTCACCTTTATTTCCTGACCGTTTCACACTTTTCCTTTCATTTTCCTCGTGTATAATAAATCTTTTTTAATTGTAGGCTTCTTTATCATCGGCACAAAGCGATTTCGAGGCGCTGGCGGCACTGGACGAGCAGATCAAGTCGTTCAACGTGGGCGCAAACCCCTACACCTGGTTTACGATGGAAGCTCTCGAGGAGACCTGGAGGAATCTGCGCAAGATCATCGGTAAACTGTTATATTATTGAAAACGTATAGTAGACTATCGTTGTTACCGACTGCTTACACAGACAGAAATAAAAAAGTTACAGCTTGTGTAACATCTAGGTAACACAAAACATAGAAATGCAGTGAATTTTGTGCAAAATTTTAATTAATGGCATTATTTAGCTGAGCGCGACGTCGAGCTGACGAAGGAGGCACACCGCCAGGAGGAGAACGACAAACTGCGCAAGGAGTTCGCCAAACACGCCAACGCATTCCACCAGTGGCTCACTGAGACTCGGTATGTTACTATAAATACCCTTATAAACAGCCGTAGATTCTATGACCTGATGATGGTGAAATAATCGAACCAAACTCATTAATGGCGGATGGCGTAAAGATACTATCTCCTGAATACTAAAAGGCTACTTAATTTTGAGTTGTAGTAAACATTGTGCCATCTCTCTCATTTTACAAAGAATTTTTTGTGACAAGCGCAAGGAGTGTTTCAATATTCGGGCATAAGTCTACAAAAAGTTTATACCATTTGTCTGTCCGGATAAAATATGTATTTCAAGGACCAATGTACTGTCTCGTTATGTACTACAAAGAAATATACAATGACATTTCAAATGTGGAAAAACGTGTGTTGCACAATTGCAGTAAAACATATTCATTATAGGACTCCATTATCCTTGTAGACAAAATTCGAAATTAACTAATTAAAACACTGAAAATAATCTTATTTTCAAAATATGTAGTATGGTATAGAGGTGTTGACATGTTGCTTGGTGTACAGGTACCGGCTGCTAGGCTGGGACGGGTAAAGTATTCAGAATGTCGCGTGCATACTAAACTTGTATAAACGAACCACTTCTTGACTTGGCAAAGGAAATTTTTGAAGTTTTTCATAATATATCATTTGAAAATATGATTTTACTTAATTTTATTGTATTTAGATAATTACGGAAGCATTTGCCAGCACATCCTTTCAACAGAATTAAAATTATGGGGGTTATAACTTTTGCCAAGCCAAAATAATCGTTGTACGCACATTACGTCCTCGATGTTTCTCTGTATTATACAGCTTAATGATTGGCTTAAAATCTCTGCCGTAAAACAAATAATGTTACGTAAACAAACATACATAGAATTACTATCTACTAATGAATTAAAAATTTTCTTTAAAATTACTAATTGGAGTTGACAAACACACATCTAATGTTTTAATTCAATTCATTCATTCAATGTTTATCATTTTGATGTTAACTTTAAGACTCTAATGAGAATAGAGTTCACGGAATTTTATTAACTTTTTATTGTAAAATTCAATATAATTTTGAATCTTTGTGTCGTAAACTTGTATAATTCTTTAATGTTCCTGAGTACATTGATCGGCTTCTCTTAGGCTTGAATATGTGTTGTTGACTTTCCTCAATGTGTCTATAGTCACAATAATTTTCCGCAATTTCTAAAAAGACCTTTCTTCCATCAATTCTCGTTTTTAATAAATTATTTTCTTTCCTCTAGTACATCAATGATGGAGGGCACAGGTTCCCTGGAGCAACAGCTGGCCATCCTGCGCCAACGTGCCGGGGAGGTGCGCGCGCGCAGAGTGGATCTACGACGCCTTGAAGAATTAGGTGGGTGGAGCATTGTATGACAGGCTTACCAATCCCTATGGAACAAATTTTCGACTTGATTGTATTACAGATTCTTTTTGTAGATTAGAAAAACGATGAGCTGGCGTCATTACAATATACTGAAAAAGTTCCTAGCCATCGATATCTTTTTCCAGTCGAATGTATTTTACTTTTTGTCTGTAGGCGCCGCACTAGAAGAGCACCTCATTCTGGACAACAGATACACGGAGCACAGCACAGTGGGACTTGCCCAGCAGTGGGACCAGCTCGACCAGCTCTCCATGCGCATGCAGCATAACCTGGAGCAACAGATACAGGCCAGGAACCATTCTGGTGTGTACAGAACTGAGAACTAATTTCATACTGCAGTATTTAAGACGAATTTATTTGAAATTCGCTAAATTATTCGTTTCTTCCTTTCTCAGGTGTAAGCGAGGATGCACTGAAGGAGTTCTCGATGATGTTCAAGCACTTCGACAAGGACCGCTCTGGTCGCCTCAACCACCACGAGTTCAAGTCCTGCCTGCGAGCCCTCGGGTACGACCTGCCTATGGTTGAAGAGGGACAACCTGATCCTGAATTTGAAGCCATACTCAGTAAGTAAACAACACCAAATATAACCAGAAATGAAGTTCTAATTAGGTGACTCATAATATTAATAATCATATTTCCTTGCAGATGTGGTTGATCCGAACCGCGATGGTCAAGTATCCCTTCAAGAGTACATGGCGTTCATGATCAGTAAGGAAACTGAGAACGTACATTCGTCTGAGGAAATAGAGAACGCGTTCCGAGCCATCACGGCGCACCAGGACCGTTCCTACGTCACCAAGGATGAGCTATACGCCGTAAGTAGCGTTTCTACTTGTATAACGATATTTCGTGGTGAATGCCCTACTAACATGTTGTGTCATTCACAGAACCTCACCAAGGAGATGGCGGACTACTGCGTGGCTCGCATGAAACCCTTCGTCGATTCCAAGACGGAGCGTCCCATACCCAACGCCTTGGACTACATAGACTTCACGCGCACACTCTTCCAGAACTAAGCACGCACTGCGCACTTCGCCCGCCGCCGCGCAGTACTGCTAGCTTATATTTAACGCATTAAATCCAGAAAAAGAACATTTGTTTTTGATTTTGTGCCGTGTCCCACCTCACACGTGAGTACTGCGCGGTCGGTCGCGCGATCAGCTTTACTATTTCTATATTTATAGCACTATTCAATGTCTAATTATTCCAAAAGTATTATAGACTGAATAAAAAAGCATTTTAAATATTCGTGTTGCGTAGCGTTAGAGTCGTAAATTGAAGCAGAAGTATCAGCTGATGTCAGTGCGTCCTCGTGTCGGAAGTATGTGCTTGTGTTCGTAGTCGAGCAAGTCGCGCCGCACGAGTGTCGCAGCATGTCGTGACGCTACTTGTGTAGTCGCTCCGTACCTTGTGTATGCGTAGTAAGGGTTAGGATTCCTTTTCTCTGATGCGAGAGCAGAGAAATACGAAGCTGCCAGTCTCTACGACTTGATGTCAGTGTTGTCTAGATACACGCGTTTTATATTCCGTAATTGTCTTCGAATTTTCATGTCGATCTTTGCATTGATAACAATCAATAATTTGCTAGATAGTGTTATAAGCTAAATTTTATAAATATTATTTTATTATTCATTTATTCAATTGTGCTAAGATGCTATTTATTTTTTGTATCCTCTAACAATTTTATCTTTTCAATAAATATTTATTCCCAAAGTTAATTGTTTATTTTCAAATAAAACTCGTGGTCCATGATACAGTCCATTATTCATGTAATAAATTATCTGTAATACATTATTTGTTCTTATCATACAAGTTTCACACACATATATATAAACTCTTCAATACAGATACAGCAACAATATATCTAATTATATTAATTTTGTTATTTGCTAAAGCCGAAATATAAGATAATTAAGTCATCTATAATGTCAAAGGATATTGAAATTTTTACATATTTACATTTTGGTACAATATTCATTATTATTCGACGCTGATGTGATCACGCCATCTTATAAAATTACCTGCACTCACCTAACAGACAATGTAATATATTTACAACGTTATTGTATTAATTATGATAGAAGATATTTTTTTAACTATTTTTATATGTGCCTAACTTACGGGCGAAATCAAGTATTAAGCATAATATCCAAATTGGAAGAATTATTGAGACCGCGAGATCTAATTCTATGGAGTTAGTTATCATCACCATTAGTGTGTGATTGGAAAAGTCACACAATGTGACCAATAAGTATCTTAATTTAGCTTACTTACATATTCTGTGCCTTGGCTGGATACGTCTGACAACACTTTTGAATCACATCGGGAAACATTTGACTCGAAACGTAGCTCAAAGCCAATCAGACACGTAAGCTGTAGGAATATTTTCAGTTAGTTTAACTGTAGTATATATACTACAGTTGCGCCCTCTGTAGTAGCCTGAATTCGTTAGGCGTGACGAGTGGCTGCAGTTTGTCCAGCAGTGGCTGCGGCAGCGTGCCGCGCGCCGGCTGCAAGTATGGAATGGACAGCAGCTCGCGCACTGACGGCCGCGCGCGCGCGTTGTACGTCAGGCACCACTTAAGCGCCGCGATCAGTGATGGAGGGAGGTCTGCGGAAAGAAATACGAGAATGTTAGGATAGATCTAATAATAAATTAACTTTAATTAGGTTAGTCATCAGTTGCTAAGATAACAAATTTATCGAGTTTCGAAAGTGAGCCACGACTTTTCCACTGACTTTGTTAATTTGAACCAGAAGACGACCAATTAGTTGCAGCAAAAATTCGTCATATTTAATCTATAGTACCAGGTTTTCATAATCATACAAGAAGTAAGTTAAAGTCTGTACCTAGGAATAGTAGAAACAGTAGTAATTATTCTTGAATGACATTAGAAGTCCTAGTAGGCAGTATATTTGGTGGAACTGATTATTGGTTACTAGAACCATGTATTATTATCAAGCATTACACTGTACACTGACAAAAGTGCATAATCATGCACACCCCTTTAAAAGGCGTAATGTTATTCAAGATGACGTTAAGAACGAGTGATATGTAACTTACGCTCTACGGGCGGGTAGTCAATACGGTGGTTGGGGTCGAGTATGGCGGCCAGCTTGGCAAGGTTGGGGATGTGGCCGAACGGGGTGCGCCCGTACACCATGCTGTACAGGATGCAGCCTAGCGACCACACATCCGATCGGAATGAAATCTATAACAACAGTAATGGTAAGGTTGATAAAAAAATTTATGAATCTAGGGAAAGTGTTAGCAACGAGTTTATAATGATACTGGAACCATCAATATAATTGATATTTATTACCTTGATGGGAGCGCTGCCTTCGCCATTAGCGACGCCATACCCGCCGGCGCCGCCCATGAGCGCCTCAGGGCTGATGTACGAGTAAGTACCCGTGGCCTGCGAGCGCACTACAGAGGTAGCATCGCTACTGATGGCTGATGCAATACCAAAGTCTATCAGCTTCAGTCTCCCGCACACTAGCAGGAAATTCGCAGGTTTTAAGTCCGCATGGATAACACCTGTAAACATAATTGACAGTAACTAAATAAATTATTTAAACTGGATATATATTACCACTATTTACAATATACTGCCTTGTTGGCAAAGTGGTCGCAAGTGCAACTGCCAGGCAAGTGGTCTCGGGTTCGATTCCCGGGTCGGGCAAAGTTTAAAGGGATTAAAAAAAAATCTCAATAGCTTCAAGGAGTCAGGAGTCATTAGACAAATAGAGAAAAAACTGAAGATTGCATTAATAGGTTTCTAAAAAACTGACTGACCATGTTCATGTATGTAATGTACAGCATGTAGCATCTCCTCCCAGTAGTGCAGCACGAGCGCGGGCGGGAGACCAGCGCCGCGCGCCTTCAGGAACGAAGACAGGTCCGTCTCGCCCACCTCCAACACCATGCGCAGGAACTGGTTGGTGCGGTCATACTCACTGCAATGGCAAGAACAATATTTAGTCAAGATTTTGCTATTTCCTAATTTATCATGAGAATTTAAAAATTTGAGTCCCAGCAAAACCAAAAAGAAAAAGAATCTAATAAGAAGCAAGCAAGCAGAAGTCTAGAAGCAAGCTGAAACACCAATAAAGCAGCATAATATGCTTTATTGGTCTTTTAGCTTAGCAGTCTCTTCTGTAAGTAAGTTTTGATAGTAATTTTTAAGACTAGAGAAGTTTATGAATAACCAATTGTACAAACAGTTTATGATGACTCACTAATCAAATAGTCTGATGACTCTGTCGGAGTTCTGCAGTTCTCTCAGCAGGCGCACCTCGTTGATGTATCCTTGTGCCAGCTCATGGTCCGTGGCCAGGTACACACACTTCACAGCGTACTCACATGAGGTGCCCACCTCTAACACCTGCGGCAAATAGCACACATTGATGATAACACCTTATCACAATACCGTATCATAATGTCAAGTAGATAATGGGTCATTCAAAAGTCTTATTAGTAAAAGTTTGCTTCAAATATACACAATAAAATATGTTAAACTTAATAATTATACAAAGCAAGTGTTAAGCTACATACTTTATACACTTCACTAGATCCTCCGGTGCCCAGTTTTTTAATGAACATGTACTTCTTATCTTTTATACTAGTTGTTTTGAATAATATCTTTGAACTATTGTTCACCACTCCCTGTGGGTATGATGGTGTCGCGACATAAGAAGCAGGCATCGCCTTCCTGTTTAGTGGTGTCTCTGGCACTGGTGCGGGTGCAGGGGTTGGCTCCGGCCGTGGTGGTGGGCACAGCGGCTCATCTTTAGGATTTTGTGAAAACAACTCCACTCTTACTCTGTCTCTGTTCTGTATAGCAGCTTTCTGTGGAGTTTTCTTATGACTTGGTTTAGACCCCGGAGTAAACCTTCTGATACCTGACTTTATCTTAGGGGTTGCAGATTTTAGCTTCTGTGCACTAGTTGGTATTTTCTTCTCTGGAGTCTTTTTAACACATGAACTTTGTATTCGTGAGTTAGTATTGCTTTGTGGCATTAATACACTACGCTTTTTAGATTCTGAAGTCGGAAAAACATTTGTACTTTGGTTTTTGTGAGCGCTTTGTGTATTGATATTATTTTCTTTGGCTGGATATGTTTGATGGGGCACCCAATTATCGTTTGCATTCTCTTTATCGTGATCGTTGTAACTGAATTTTTTTTCCGAAGCAAAAGCTTTTATATCTTTTGGTTTAGGTTTCACATTGGGCGTGAAAAAATCTTTGTTTATTTTCTTAGCAGGAGACGGTTTTTTAGCCACGGTTTCGCCAAAGGAGTGATCACTGTCGTCAGCTGATGAAAAGCTGGCATCAGGGCTGTCTGCTGCATTCTTAAAAGGCATCAAGTTGGCCAGCAGTGCCGACATAGGCATCGGCGCAAACTTGATGCTGTTCGATGTTGATTCCGTGTTACCACTCATATTTACCAATGTTTAATGCATTTGTTGAATAAATCTAAACGTAAGTGACCACTTTTAAGAAATATTTAACTTAGTTTTGTGTACAAATTGTATAATTTTAATCTTATTTACGCTCAAAAGTTTAACTTTTATAACTCCTGTTTGAGCCGTTGAACTTTTATTTAAACCTTGACAGTTGTTTACAAACTTGACGTTTGGTTTTGGGTTGCCATTCTAATTAGTTTAATCTATAAACTTACTAAAGACGGTTTAGTCGATTTTTACAAAACAAAATATTTGGTCTTGGCACCGAAATAAGTAGTCAAGGAAAAGGATCAAGGAATTGAATTTTTCAATAAACAGATTAATATATTTAAAATAATAAATAAATTTATAATAAAAGTTTGATTACGAGTTATCAACCAATCTTATAAGAATATTTTGTAGACTTGAAAATACATAATATAAAATTGTGACAAGTGGGTGGTACATTGTACAGTGGCATAATATCAAAGAGTATAATAAGTATAGGGGATCATAATATACTCCTGTGCCTACCCCTTCAGGGATAAAAGGCGTGATGATATGTTGTGTTAGTAAATAGTAGTTACGGTTATTCGGAAATATATTAGAAATAAGACCGAATTATACTTATTACTTATTGCTTGTTGCGATTTTTCGATACCCATTTGCCAATAAAAATAAAATCAATATAATTAATTCATAGTTTAATATTATTCAGTACATGATTACAGATCATTTTTATTCAGTATAATCCATAATAAATATATATGTATATTAAATCATTTAAAATATCACTTCACGGGTTCACGAAGACTCCGTATCTTCAGATTTAGTAGGATACCTGCAGTCTACACTTCCACATTCACATTTCATCCACTTCGATTTTACGGACCAGAATTTGTCTCCATAGTCGAACCTGTCAACAAAAAACAAATCAATAAAATGTCTTCAAATCATTATTAACTTGTCTCTTACAACTACGAATTTTCATAATTTGTACTTGTAACTTTACGATATCTAAGACAGTCCATTTAACGAGAAAAAAAAAGTACACTGTTGTATGGGATGGACAGGAGTTTTAATGAAATGTTAGTGACTAACGTGAGTTCCTCATCCTGCTGTATGTCTGCGGTGGCGAAGAGAGCGACGGTGGGCAGGCGCAGGTCGCGCGTGTCGGTGAAGACGCGGACGGGCGCCAGGTTGGGCCGGCAGCTGTGGTTGATGAACCGCGCCGCGCTGCCGTACTGCGCCGCGTCCACGCATAGCTGCGTCTTGTCCGAACATTGCTGGGCGAAAGATAATGTGTTACTCAAAACTTGATTCAGTTCTGAATTTATTTTTATTTTTGCAGTCTTTACATTTTTTGAAATTGTAACCAGAATGTTATCTTTAACGCCTGTAACATTTATATGAATATGAACAGACTACATACCTCTAGCAAGTCGGACTTGACATCGAGGGCGAACATGTACTGGTCTGCGGCGCGCGTGTCTGCCTGCGGCAGTGGCAGTAGTTCCCCGACGTAGAGCGCGACGGGAGCCCCGCGCAGCACGGGCTGGCGCGCGCGGAGCCCCCAGCCGCGGGGCTCCGCGCAACGGAACACTTGCACGCGCACGCACACGGAGCCCGCCGCCGCCGCGCGACTCACTATACTGTTGCCGCAACGACGCTGTACGAACAGGAAATTGTACATCATGTGTCGATTACAACCATAAAGATTCTGATCACTTTGTTTTTTTATTTATAAAGGATATTGAGAACATAATAAGAAAACCTTTACTGTTCACTATAATATTATTGTGGAGTACTTTGAAACACTATCGACTCATACATGTCAAATATTTTACAAGTTTAATGGCCTTAGAAGTGTGAGATAAGGGAAAAAGAAGGAAAAAAATATAGTATATTATTGGTAAATAAGTGAAGCAGCCGGAAAGCAGTGTGTTCCTCACCATGTTACAGTGGCAGGTCTGGTTGCACTCGAACAACATGGGCGGGTCGTGGTAGGGGAAGGCGGGCGCCAGGCGGCCGCCGCAGTACCAGCCGCGCACGCCCAGCGCCGCGCATGCGCACGACATCGAGCTGCACTCGCCCGCCGCGCACCGGCAGCCCTGCAGGGACAAGTAACGAATGACTCGAAATCAAAAATAATTTTATTATTGAACACTTCGACCTCAATAAACATAATATTCAAAGACTGAAATTTACTATTTGTCTATCTTCCTTTATTTAACCGTCCATCATCACTTCATACCGAATTTCTTGCATGATCATATATTCAGTTTATTTCCTTTATTTTCACATTTAGTATCGGTATCTATAACTTTACAAATTAGAATAAGCTTATAATGAATTGTAAGATTGCAATCCTAATTATTTACAACTACATGATCTGTGACTCCTCTGGTGTTGCGGGTGTCCATGGGCGGCGCTGATCGCTTACCATGAGGTGATCCGTCTGCTCGTTTGCCTCCTATTCCATAAAAAAGCCTATATATATTTTCCAACCTGCAGAGTATCGATGGTGTTGTCGACACTGACGGGTACAGGCATGACGTGCCGCGTGACGTACGTGAAGTCGTCCGGTAAGGGCGCGTCGTCCACCTCGTTCACACACGGGATCGGAAACGGCTCGCGGCCGTTTGAGATGTCGCTGGAGAATGTTATTAATAATTACTAATAATTACTAATTACTAATTATCATAGTATCAGGCAGTAGTAATGGTATAAGGATTACCTGGGGAATACGGGTTGTTTAAAATAATACACATAAACAAGAGCAACTAAAATTTTATCTATGCATTATCATAAAAAGCTTCTACCAGCAGCTGCATATGCTTTCCCGTGGGTTAAAAAGTAACCTATGTGTTATTCCAAACGATAATCTATCCTGTTTCAAATTTCATCCCAATCCCTTCAGCCGTTATGACGTGATTGAGTAACAATCATACACACAAACGATCGCTTTTGTAATATTAGTAAGATATAATATGGTACACAATCTTGAAACATAACATAACATCACGCCTTTTATCCCCGAAGGGGTAGGCAGACCTCTGCAGACAGTGTAGTACTGTACAGTGTACAGTGAGCCTATTGCCATATACCAGGCACAATTTCAGACTCCTTGCTACTACTGAGATTTTTTTTAAACTCAGTAATACTTTGCCCGACCCGGGAATGGAATCCGAGACCCCTTGCCCGGCAGTCGCACTTGCGACCACTCGGCCAACGAGGCAGTCAATCTTGTAACAATATCTATTAAATTGCTACGTACCTGGAGAGTAGTTTGAACCGTGGCAGGTTGTCTTTGACGGCGATGGTCATCTGCATGTTGAGTGAGATGGCCGTCTGACACGGGCCCGTGCAGACCTCCACCGGCAACTCGCCCGCCGCGTTCTCTATGTCCGTCTGTGTATAAATAATACATCATATTCTTGTAATGAAAACATAGACTGGTTACAACTTGGACTCAGTTTTAATTAGCCCTAGGTTAGACGTGGTATTTAAATATCGTCTTTAGTAAATAGACGTTGTTTTGGTTCCTTTATTGGTATGGTTTGTAATTACTTGCTTACCCGTACTCCGCGAGCTAGCAGCATAACCACGCAGGCATAGTGACCTTGTCTCGCAGCTATGTGTCTGAAATAAAAATAATCATTAACGGTAGAAAGCACAATTTAATATAGAAATCAAATACATGTTACAACAGTTGGGAACATGGCAAAAATTAAAACTTAGTTTAAACTGTCAAACACCAAGCGGTCACCGGTGACCGCAACCTATTGTTCTATAATTGTGTCTATAATGACGGTACTCGACGAGTTAAGTAGGTATTCAATAGTAAAATTGTAAAATATTAAGGGAGAATGTAGAATTCTGTGGTTTTATTAGAGATTAACAAAGATTCTATAATAACCCCTCTTTCTGACGAAGGCAATTTACAAGAACTTTCACAAAGCTATGTTGTTATATATGTATAGAGGTGTGATACTTAAATGACCAGATATTAAGATACAATAAAAAATATAGGTCTAAAACACCTCTGCTCATTCTCAACAAAGGCAATTAAAAAAATAAGTGTAATATTAAATGTACTACATATGACACATAATGCCAGACAGTACGGTTGGCGCGGTGGCTGCAACTGGTTGCTATGTAACGTGTCGCGGGTTCGATTCCCGCACGGAAGAACTCCTTGTGTGATTCATAGATTGTTGTTCCGAGTCTGGGTGGCACGTGTATGTGATCTTGTACGTTTGTAAACACACCCACGATAGAGGAGAAAATCCTAGCGCGGGGAAAAGTTCCAAAAAAGAAATGTGCATACAGCGGCGTGTCTCCGTGCGCGTTGAGCGTGTGGGCGAGGGCGGGGCGCGCGTGCAGCAGCGCGCGCAGGGCGGCGGCCGCGCCCGCCAGCGCGCACCAGTGCACGCTGCCGTTGCCCTCGCTGTCGCACGACGCCGCCTCCGCGCCCGCGCCCAGCAACAACCTGACACGTACATTGTGCTCACAAGGACAACAATACTAGGAACATACATACAGCAGTGAAAATTATTTCATTTAGTCAATATTTTACTACGATATATCTCTTGCTCCCTAATATAATAGTCAAAAACTTCATTATAAACAATATTTCCTGCATCATAATTCTGAAACATACTGAGAGATTAGTCACAGTTACGAAACTCAAACGAAATAAACGTACATACATACATACATAACATCACGCCTTTTATCCCCGAAACGGTAGGCAGAGGTGCGCATTATGCCACTGTACAATACAACACCCACTTTTCACTATTTATGTTATGAGTCCCATGTAATAGGGGGTGAGCCTATGGCCGTATACCAGGCACAATTCCAAAATAAAATTTGGAATTGTGGAGTTGTAACTAAAATAAAATTAACCTTAAGAACACTCCACACTATAAAATACAAAATTAAGTTACTCACTTGACGGCCTGACTATGGTTGTTCTCAGCAGCCCAAACGAGTGGCGTCCACCCTCCATGGTCCCTGGCGTCCACGTTGGCTCTCTCCAGAAGGTATGGTATCACTCCTACCAGACCGTGCTGAGCCGCTATGTGGAGACATGTCATACCGTCCGGACCCTATAGTATAAAATATCGTTACGATTAATATTTACACA